TCTACAGCCGCAGAGCCCAGGGCGGCGGCCCCTGACGACACGCACAAACCAGGGGACGCGGCAGCTGCGCGGACACCGCGCCTCGGGGGCACTCGACCAGGGAGCCCCCTCCCCGGGGTCGTCTTACCGCGACCTCTTGTGCTTCCTCCTCCTCCGGCCCGGGTCACACGCCCGTCCCACCGCGGCCAACTACAATTCTCAGCTGACGGGCGGTGGCGCTGGGGCGTCCAGTGCGCATGCCTGCAGCTCAGCCCAGGGAAGGGGGCGGGGCTCGCTGCTCCCCCATTGGCCCGCTAGGCTGAGTGACAGCTTCCCTCTCCCGCCCCTTCTGCTTCCGAGCTATTAACAAAACTGACAGGGAGGTGTTTTCTGTGGCTTGGTACAGCTTGTGAAAGCCTTAGTCTGTATGCCAAAAAAGAAGGGGAGGGCTTGGAAGGCAAGCTGCCTTCTTTATCAGTTGAAGCCAGCCTTCCTCTTTGCGTCCCCCATCAGCTTATGCCTATCTCTGCTCCTAACCTTTAACTTTGCAGGATGTTGCATTCACAGCTCTAAGAAGAGAGGGGAGCAGCACAATATGGGAACCTAGCGGGAACAATGGAAGAAGAGGTGGCAAGTCACCTCCGTGCACTAGTCAAGTTTCCTTGCACAGACAATCCATTCTAAGGATCCTGGAAGGTCAGGCCGCAGTTTTCGCAGGGTTTGCGGCATAAGGTCTGAATGTTCTAATGACCAGTATCCAAACCGAATGCAATTTGTTAGAAGAAATGCATCGATTTGGTGAGAGAAATAATTCACTAAATTAATTAGAAGATAAATTGTCTTGACCTTCATCTGTAGGAAAGCAATAATCTTTTCAGAAAGGACCATGAGAAAAGAGAATATAAAAAATCCAGATGGCGTGGAGAGGACAGAATTTTTTGAATGGGACTACCCGAGGAAAGTCTAGATAGAGTGTTGCTATAACAATTCATGGTGACCAGTAACCTAAATATGGGTTGTTTGAACAGCCCCTTGATACAGACTGGTACGTGTGGTCTGGTGATGTGTGGCTAAATGACCCCTATAGAATAGTTTTCCTCTGTCATGCATGTTCATTGTATCCAAAAGTACGTTAAAAGGGATTGTTAAAAAATCATAGGAACACTAGTTTAAAACAAAACATATATTCAAATGTGAAGCTACTGCTCCCCCACGTGCCCTCCACCTCTGTCTGTATGCTTGGAAAGCGGTGTTTCACCTCTGTCTGTACACTTAGAAGGCGGTGTTTCACCTCTGTCTGTACACTTGGAAGGCGGTGTTTCAGTCTCTGTAACAAACACTTCCATGAAGACTTCTGAGCTCTTGACCTCTGCCACTTCCAAATGGCAGTTTGGGCGTCCTCAGGGGACTCAGATTGTTCCTTTGAATTTGGGGTAAAAAGACATTTGAAGAGGCAAGATCAGGGCTGCAGGAAGGTTTCCCCACGAATTCCTCAAAGGACAACCCTCGCCACCATCGAAGAACAAGCAGCTACCTTGCTGTGATAAGAGAACAAAAAATGGACACAACTTATCCAGCTTTTTAAAATCACTGATGCAGTTTTACATTTCTAAAAACCTTCTTCCTAATACATCAGTGTGATGGTCCCATGCCCTTCAATGAAATCTATGAGATGACCCCTTTAGAATCTCACTGAGTAGGTGAGATTACTTCTAAGGTTACTTCTAAGCTGATCTCTCTGCCTAGCACTGAATTGACCCAGTAGATTCCTTCAGAAGCCACTGTTTGGGTTGGACCTTTTTTTTTTTTTAAGGTTCCCTTAGGAAATGAAGACAGGTCTATTACTGAGAAAATTCATCTGCCGGCAGGCAGCCACTGAGCACAGAGGCTTGTTTAAACACATTTTGTTCGGAACAAGCTGATGCGTGGGTGAACAGGAACCCAAGTAGCAATAGTTTTTGACTTCCTCATGTGCTTAAAAAAGTTCAATGAATAAATGAGGCCTCCACTAACCAGTGGCCCTCAGGTTCATTCGAGCTCATCGGGATCCCACCTGAGTAGAGGACAACAGCATCTATTGGCTAGTTAGAGTTGTGACCCTGGGTTCCCTGGGTAGTTAGGCTTGAGCGACCAGCATTTCGGTTAGTCGTCAAGGGCTTAAGCCTTTGTACCATCCAGGTACTTTGCCATTGAGTCAGTTCTCAATCATAGCAACGCTAAAGGAAAGAATAGAACTTCCCCTCGAAACTATAATAATTTATGAATTATGAAGGGTTCATGAGGGAGGGGGCAGTGGGGAGGGAGGGGGGAAATGAGCAACTGATATTAAGGGCTAAAGTAGAAGGCAACTGTTTTGAGAATGATGAGGGCAACAAATGTACATATGTGCTTGACACAATGGATGTGTGTATGGATTGTGATAAGAATTGTACGAGCCCCCAGTAAAATAACTAAAAGGAAAAAAAAGAATAGAACTTCCCCTTTTGGGTTTCTGAGGTTGCACAAGGGGTACCCCAAAATAACTGGAATTTCCCCAAAAGCTATGTATTTAATTTTTTTTTTACAAAACAACCTTATCACCTTCAAAGTACTCTTTATTACACTTAATTCATTTGTCAAATTTATGATTCCATTCTTGAAAACATTTTTAAAACTCATCTGTTTGGAGGACTGACAGCACTTCTCTCATTTTTCTCTTCACCTCTTCTACATTGTCAAATCCCTGTCCTTTCATGTCCCTCTTCATTCACAGAAACAAAAAGATGTCACACATCGTGAGGACAGGTGCATGGGGCAAGAAAGGCGTGCTGTTTTTTGCTAAAAACTGGTGCATGAGCAGTTGGATTGTCGTGGTGAGTTCCCAGACTGCTACAGATCAGGCCTTTTTGTCACACACTTTAACGCTATATTTATAGAACTTTTAAATAGAAAACTTGATTAACAGTCTGACCTGATGGAATGAACTCCAAATACTCTATAGTTGACATTTTCATCCATTCAGGAAGTTGACGGACATCCAGAATGAGGTTTGTCATCAATCGACATTTCATCTTTTTTGAAAAGAGAAAAACACCTATACACTTGAGATTTTCCCATGGCGCTATCCTTGGAAGCTGTGTTCAACATCACAACTGTTTCTGCAGCATTTTTCCAGAGCAGGAAACAAAATCTCATCTGCCCACACTGTTCTCTTAAATCAGCCATCACTGAAAAACAAGGTTCTAGCGAAACTACTTTTATGAAAAAATTCACTGTGAACAGAAAGAGCCTTCCCAGGCAACAGCATTGGGTGCACTAGCTCCCAGGGAGTTGCTTGATGCCTGTCTAGTGGGAAACATGTGTACTACAAAAGCTCTGCTCTGCCCAGTGCAATTCCGGTTGGGGCGGGGATGAGGAGTAAGCCTTCTGGGAGCAGAACATCTCTCATCTTTCTCCCTTGTAGTAGCTGGTGGATTCAAACTGCTGACCTCACTGTTAACAACCCACCAGGTAACCCTCTATGCCACCAGGATTCCTGATAATCTACATATCAAAGCTTAGTGCCATCACCTGGATTCAGATTCATAATGACCCTGTAGGACAAGGTAGAACTGCCCCTCTGAGTTTTCAAAACTGTTACTTCTTATGGGAATAGAAAGCCTCATTTCCCCCCCAATAAAGCAATGTGTGATTTAGAATTAACCTCATAGACAGCAGCCCAATGAGCAACCACTATGCCACCAGGGCTCTCTCTGTGTGCCAAAATATGGCTACCTATAATCTGTATGCAACTGTTTGGATTGACCTATAAATTCAGTTTAAAGACAGACTTAGGGAGTTATCTCATTTGTAACCTGGAGACTGCCAATGCTGTCAATGCATCTGATTTTTTCAACTGCACTAGATTTTTTTATGTGAAACTTCTTTCCCCCAAATTCATAATTTTCATAAATGATTCAGTGGTCAGACAAAATACATGTGCCTCCACCTCTGTTGTTCACTGACATTGGGTTGGTTCTTTTTTTTAGTAGGGGCTCATACAACTGTTATCGCAATCCATACACACATCAATTGTGTAAAGCGCATT